CACCCATCTCTCCACCCCCTCCACTTCAAGGCCGTCCATTTGCTGACCCCAGTCAGACCTGTCAGCTGCTGGCCCGGTTGTGACTGCGCTCCTCTGCAACAAAATCACGGTGAGCCTCTCCTCTACTCAAATCCAAAGTCTCTAACAGCATTTCTGTGGAGGGTTCAGGCTCAGTCTCCTTTCCCCACTTCCCCTCAGCATACCTGGAAGACCCGCTCTACTTCTGGAATTCCCACCCCAGGCCTATTGATGACCACACCCACCCCACTGAAGGCAGGTTCTGGCCCCCCTAGGAAGCCTTCCCAGGCCTTTCCAATCCACAGTGACCTCTCCTTCCTCCAACTCACAGCCACTTATTGTCTGCCCCAATCCTAAAGCAATGAATCATAGGCTGCCTTGGACACCGCCCGCCTGTGTTGTTCTCTCTCCTGGCAGACACCAAGCATCCTGAAGGAAGGGGTAGAACTTTGTATACTCACTCCCTCAACCCCCACCCATGCGGCTTTTCGAAGCCAGGCCCAGAATAGGTGCTCATTCATGTATTCAACGAATGCTTATTGGGCACTTATAATGTGTCAGCCTCTATCCTTGGCACAACAGTAAAGACTGGCCCAGTCTACCATGACAATGGTTCTAGCAAGAACTACCTGTCAGTTTTGTTGGGCTGTCTTTCTGTACCCATTTGGCATATGTTAGACAGCAGTGGGGAGAATAGTTGTTTTCCAAAGGCAAACCTCAGCTCCCCACTTCCTTTTTTGTTGTTGTTGTTGGTGGTGGTGGTACCAGGGATTAAACCCAGGGACATTCAACTACTGAGCCACATCACCATCTCTTTTTAAAAATTTGAGACAGGGTCTCGCTAAATTGCTGAGGCTGGTTTTGAACCAGCAATCCTCCTGAGTCACTGAGATTACAGGCATGCATCACTGTGATGCCAGGCTGCCCACTTCCTGTTTATGTGACCTGGAAGAAATTATTTAGAGCCTCAGTTTTCTTATCTGAAAATAGTAAAGATACTGCCTATTTCCTGGAAGGGGGGCAGTTTGAGAAAATATAGACTGACTACCTAACCCAATGTAAGTACTTAATAAATGGTCTCTGGAAGTACTCAGCACAATTGTAGTTATGTCCTTCTTTGAAAAACTTGCTAACCTCTGTCACAAGACGGTAAGCAGAGTGGGAGAGTCTCTACTTTGCTTACTTCAACATCTTCAGCGCAGTCATAACCGGGCCAGCAGCTGACAGGTCTGACTGGCACACAGTAGGCTCTCAATAAATAGTTTTCCAGGGACTGGTTATTTTTACTCAATGACTATCTGCTAATCCTGGAGCACTTGCTGCGTGATCACTGGTTGTTTAGTTGCCAGCTTGCATATGATTCCCCGATTCCCCTTCTCCACCTAGGGGGGCAGAGGAGACTCTCAGCACATGCTCCTTGAATGCATGGTTCCTTACACATTTCAAACACTTCACCTCTTCTGGGGAGACTTCCCTAAACACAAGCCCCTCCTCAGTAGCTCCTCAGCATTAAAGTACTCAATGTGTGTGAGGTCATTATCAAATTAGTGTCTATGTTTATTCTCAGCTACAATCTTAATCTCTTTAAAGGAAGGAGGAGTTTATCTGATGCTCCATTTGGATCTGCCCTCCAGCCACATCCCCTTCATCTGCATGGACCTTGGCAAAGAGTTCATCTTATCATTTCAAGTCCCAACCCAAATCCATCCCCAAGGGACTGACTCCAAAGAACCCCCTTCTCTTTTGGGTGCCTTCACCTGGCCACCACCCTCCTCCACATACACAACATGGGATAACTGTGCAACCCTATTTTCTGTGTAAGCGTTGGCAGGTTAGGAGTTAGATGGGATGCCCACGGGAATGACCCTGAACCTTGCAGAAAAGAGAAATTTAACAGTAACTGCCTGCCTGTACTCCCCCTCTCCAGATCAAGGTTATTTAACCATTCAGGCAAACCTCAGTCTTCAACTTGGGACTTCCTCCCCATCTCAGGGTCAAATACCTGAGACCTCTTAGGTAGTCCCCCCTCCCCCGCCACCCCACTATTTCTCTCACCCTTAGAGGATCCCTTACTTCCAGTTGGCAGAGATAGAGTCCAGAGGGATTACAGTATTCGGCTTCCAAGTTAGAACCAGGAGAACCACAGGGTAAAATGCAAGACAGGGAAAGCTTGGGGTCAATGTGCAGGGGTGTTCCTGAGATTCAGGAAGAGTAGGGGAATAAGGGCCTGGAGTGAGTCTTCCCCAGACTGGACGCAAGAGTTGGGAGTGGTGAATTCTGGGAGAGAAGCAGAACCTCTCAAGGTTGAAGCACCAGGAGAGTTCTTTCAAAATAAGTATTATCTGGCCCCACCCTTAGGAATTTTGATTGGAAGGTGGGACAGGGAGAAACCCCCAAGGCAATTGTGATGCAAAGGTCCCAGACAATCTGGGAACAACTCTGGGATACAATAGATCCACTGAGTTGAGAAACAGAACACTGGGGGTGTCTGTAGCTCAGTGGTCAAGAGCTTGCCTGGCCCGACCATGTCCTGGGTTCCATCCCCAGCATCAAAAAAGAAAGAAAAAGCCTGAGGCCATACAAACTCTCTCATCACCACACCACCATCATTGCGCTCCACCACCCCAGCAGGCAAGGTTTCACTAAGGCACGGCTAAGCGTTTCACACACAGGATCTCATTTAATCCCCCCACCCTCTGAAACAGATAATATTCATTATTACAGCCCTGTCCCCGTATTACAAGTCAAATTGAGACTCAAAAATACATTAATCGTCTTAGGCCAGAGAAACAGTATGAGGAAGAGCTCGGATGTGAGAAACAGGGCTTCTTCAAATACCAGAGTCTGGAGGAAAGGCTGGATTCAGGAAGGGAATCAACATTAATCCCTAAGACTGGAAAGGGATGTTTGTTGTGTTACCCTCACCTCCACCCCAGCACACAGGAACCTCAGCCCTGTAGCCAACACTGCCCACCATCAGGACAGAAAGGGAAGAGGAGGCTAGCCTTCTAGGATTGAACCCAGGCCTCCCAGGCTGTTGTGGCTCATTCAAAGGTCCATCAGGATATAGAAAGCCATGTGACTTTCCCTTCCTGGGAAGGGCAGGAACAGCAGTTAAATGGCCCTTACTCATCCCTGCCCCCACCACTTCTGAACTTTGTCCTCTGCAGTTGGTATGGGGAGTCATTAGTCTCAGCGGTGGCCTTTGAAGCCACTGGTGCCTTATCTGCCCTTCCCCAGGCTCTGGCTGCCTTCCTGGGCAGGGGTGCTTTGCATTCACCCAGTGGCATGGGTGTCCAGAGGACTGAGAAGCCAGAGCTTAAGCAGGGACAGACACAGGGACCCATCTCCCTCAGGAGCAGAAGAAACATCAGGGGTATAGGAGCGACGGATGAGGGGACAAGAGTCCAAGGAAAGTCAAGGGGACCTCATCTGTATCCATACCTGGGAAGGGTTGATTACAGAGGTTCACCTGAAACCTTCATTTCCAGAGTTTTTGCTGCATGCTATGACCAGAGAGCTATGCCAGGTCAGGCTTTGACACCTTGGATGCTCCCTGTCCCCTGCCCCTAGCACTATTAGACAATAACCACTGCTTCCTCAGGCAAACACCAAAGGAACAGAGTGAAGGGTAAGCAAGTGAAGCTGCATGGGGTGGAGCTGTTCAGAGGCCACCCACAGCAAGCAAGGGCATGGCCCTCAGCTCTTTCCCCTCTTCCACCACCCTCCATTAGCTTCTGCAGACTTACAGGCATCTGTTGTTTGGGGCCAGATTGTTTGTTTGAGCCCTCACTTCACACTTCCTAGCTGTGAATTGTCTTTTCTGAACCAGTTTCTATACAATGAAATGGAAATTGGGAGTTATTTGGGAGGATTAAAGGAGATCTGGTGCATCTAAAGTCTATTATAATTGTAAAGGTCAGACATAAAACAGTCTCCCAACTCCAGAATAGAGCAGTTTATTTCCAGCATTGGGCACATAGTAGGTTCTTGTTTGTTCAAAGAACAGTTGGCAAATCCTATAAAGGTAAATAAATATAATACATATCTTACTACTGCATCCTTCCACTTGCCACGAGCCCTGGCAGATAGAAGATGCTTAATCTGTTGAACAGAATTGCTCTCTGCAGCACCAACTATCCTTGCTCAGGGCAGGAGCAGCCCTCACCCCATCAGAAGGGCCTCCTCCTTCACTACCTCCCCCTATTCAACCTTCATTCCCTTTTAGGTCTTCCCCGCCTTCGTAGGCCCCCTTCCTGGTCTTTCCACCCCATTCTTCCTAGTAATATTCAATGTCTTTTGGCCAGCTTTTCTGCAGAAGTCATCATAGTAGCAAGGGCTCTGGTAGGAGGAAACCAGACCAGCCAGACACCCTTTTCCAGCCCAAGTGCCTTCAGGAATTGGGAACTGGGGATGGAAGGGGGAAGGGGAAAAATAAATGCGGCCAGACCAGAACTGAACCTAGGCCTGCCCTCTACCATCCTGCCTCTGGCCATCTCTGGAAGCCTCTCTTCTCAAGCCTCTTTTCTGGATTCCAGCCCATGCCCTAGTCTAGTTATTACAGGTTTCCATCCCCTCAGACTCCCACGTCAAGAACGAAGGTAACACCCACTCATCCCCACACACACCCAGACCTCAGGGTTCTCACAAACACCTTCTGGCAGCTCACTAGGACTGACCCAGAGCAGGTGCTGGAAGGCGCCCTGCGTCTTCCGGCACGAAGTCCTGGCCTCTGCTTGCTGGGGCGGCCGGGTCCGCACCGCTAGGGTCAACGGGCGCTCCCAGAACACACCCAGCGTACGGAGTGTCTCCTCCCAGAGGCAGCTGAGCCAGTGTATAGTTGGGGGGCCGCGGCGGCTCCTAGGGTTCGAGTGGCCCCGCCCCCACCCCCGCGGCGCCGGCCTCCTGAAGCCTAAGGCGAGGCCAGGCGAGCGCGCAGCGTAGTGAGAAAGCGCCTAGGCCAGCCGGTCACCTGCGTCCCCCGCCCCCCGGCGCCGCGGCGAGTCGCGCAGCGGGCGCCGGGAGGGGGGCGGGGAGGAAGCCGGCGCCGGAATCACAAAGCCGCGAACCCAGCCGGGCGGGGACACTCTCGTAAAACCGATGCTCTCGCGGCCGGCGGAAAAGGGGCTCTTGCCCTACAGTCAATTCCCAGTGGCCTCAGCATCACCCCCAATCTTTCCTGCCGGAACGAATCGTTGCCCACCACTGCTAGGGAAACTGAGGCCAGAAGTCTGAGCTAGGGTAGCTGGGGGAGGGGGGAACGGGTGCGAGTCCATTTCACCCACCAGTTCTACTCCCGCGCCTGCCACGGTCTCCCTTCTGGCCCCCAGGCCTTTCCCCGACACACGACTGGCCTGCAGCCGGGACCGGGAAGAGGGGGCGCCCTGGTGTGAGACTGACCCAGGTGTGCGGGACCCAGGTGAGCCAGAGACCCAGGTGCCTCGCAGAACTCAGCTAAGTGGTCCGGAAAGGGTCGCAAACAGCGCCTCAGGCTTGCACCTTTTGCAAAAGAATCAAGGGCCTCGGAGCCCGGGGAGGCGTTATGGCGCGGCCAGCCAGGTCCAGCTTGTTCCCGGAATACTCGGCCGGTACGGCCCGGGAGTGGGGGTGGGGGGAGGCGCCCGCCGGGAAGCCGGTCAGTCCGGCCACAGGGCTCCCGCTGTACAGATATTTACAATAACAATGTCGCTATTAAGGTGACAGGGCGCTTGGGTCGGTTTTTCCCCACGGAATCTGGCCTCCGAGGGAGAGGGGCAGAGCTTGTCTGTGTATGCCCCGCAGGGTGTAATGTGACAGTGTTGGTGTAAGGTGTGTGTGACACCCAGTGTTAAGATGTGTGAAGCAGTAGGTTCCGTGTTTGTGACCGTGAGGCGCTGCTGTAGGTGCTTCTTACTGTGTTAGGGTGTGTGCCATCAAGGCGTGTGCTGAGACACTGGGTTGTGTTTGTGTGGGTGCAGGCGGTGGGAGCAAGTGAGACCTGTGCTCTGTGTACCTGTGCTCTGGCCAAGGAGTAGGGAACATAATTTATGTTAGGGTGTGTTCCTTAAAGAAATACGAGGGTGGGGGATTAGGTTTTGAGTGTTCATGTTGAGAACTATGGCACTCGTACACGAGGGCATGGGTTTGTGTTTGTGTGTCTATGTTGCCCAGTGTCACACCCGGTTGTGTTGTTGCTGTCTACGGACACAGGTTGTGTGTCCCTGCTGCTGATCGTGCAGAAGCCGAAGCAGATTCTAAGCTGGTGACGGTGCCCCATTGGGCGCTGGTGTGCGGGAGGTATGTCTGTGTTCACATATGTTCGGATGTATGTATGCGTGTGTATGTCTGGTACGGTCCTCCAGGTGCCCGCGGAGAGCTGGAAGCGGCTGAGTGAGCTGAGCTAGTCGCCCAACAAGTGTGTGTGTGTGTGTGTGTGTGTGTGTGTGTGTGTGTTGGGGATAAGGTTTCTTGCTAGCTTCATCCTCGGGGAGCCCCCCACCAAACTGAGGGCCGCGCGCTTCCCCAAAACCATTTCCATCTCGCGCGCTCCTGGAGTCTTATCCCAGCCGCTCCAAGGCGCGCCCGAGTGCGCGACACCAGGGTTGGGGTCCGGCTCGGTACCCGCTCCCCTCTCTCGGTTTCTTGTAGTGGACCTTGAGGCCAGAGTGCCGGCTGCAACCCCCACTTGGTGTTCCAGCAGCCCCCACCTCGGTCCCCGGGCGCTGGGCATGGACTGGATCCCCCCGGCCTCGCTCCGCTGAGCGCCCCTCCCTCAGCTCCCGCCGGCCATGGCCGCTCCGGGCCCCGAGCCT